TGTGGACCTCCTTGGGTTGATTTTGTTGGGTGCTCTCTGTGCCTCCTGGATCTGAATTTCTGTTTCCCTCCCCAGATTGAGGAAGTTTTTAGCTCTTAGTTCTTCAAATAAATTTTCTGCCCCTTTCCCTCTCTTCTTCTGGGATCCCTATAATGTAAATGTTATGCTAGATAGTGTCATTGAGTCCCCTTAATCTAGTCCCATTTTTTCTTTTTTCTTCCTCCTGTTCATCATGATTGTTCTCCATCCATTACTCTGTTCTCCAGGTCACTGATCCGTTCTGCTTTCTCTGGTCTTATTCCAATTTTTCATTTCAGTTATTGAGATTTTCATCTCTGTTTGGTTCTCTTTTATGTTTTCTGTCTCTTCGTTGAGGGTGTCACTGAGGTCCTCCACTCTTTCCTCAAATCTGATGAGAATCTTTATGGCCACTACTTTAAATTCTCTATCAGGCATATTACTTATTTCTGTTTGTTTAGCTTTCTTGCTGTGATTTTGTCCTATTCTTTCATTTGGAACAAATCATCTGTCTCATTTTGTCTCTCTGGGTCTGTTTCTGGGTGTTAGAAAAATTAGCTATGTCTCCTACTCCTGAAAGTATTGCCCTTATGAAAAAGAGGCCCTGTGGTGCCCTGCAGTGCAGAGACCCCACTTACAGAAACAGGTGCTTCAGGGGCGTCTCCTATATGCGTTGCATGCACCCTATTGTGGCTGAGCTGCATTTGCTTTCAGTCTAGTTGTCCGCAATGGCTGTCACTGACTATTGTGGGTAGGGTTTGGTCCCTGTGTCAATGGGTCAGTACGGGGAATACCTTGGGCTTGAGTTGAGCCAGACCAGGTGTTTGCCAGAGCTGCAGTAGCACCCAGTTGCAGGGCACTCTCCCTATGTTGAACCCTGAGATGTTCACTGCTGGGTAGGGCCTGCAGTCAGACCACATATCTTCACACAGTCACTGCTGGCACATTTGGACTGGTATGTATGGTTTTCCTCACCCTTCCTCAGGGCAGGAGTCATTTCAGAGTGGTGCTGGCCGGGGCTGCTTTCATACTATCAAGCTTGTGGCACTGCTCCGGATGGACTTCTGAGTGTGGTTTGGGGGGAGATGGGTGCACTTGTTAGCAAAGCTAGATGGAGAGTGTCCATGCTACGCTGGTTGCTGCAGGTATCTAGGCTAGGGGGCAGAGGAGAGAAATGGTGCTTGCTAGCTCTTTTGTTCTTGGAGAAATGTAAGATCCCTGCCCCTCCAGCACACATTCTGAGATTAAATATATCTTCCTGTGTACCCCAGGCATTTTTAAAACTGCTGCTTCTATGCCATATCTCAGTAGGGTTGTTTGCTATGCTGTCTCTTTAAGGGTGAGGACTCAGTTTCCTCTTGCCCTCTTGCTCTGAGCAAAGCCTGATGATTTGTAAAGTTCCCAGTGTTGGGGCGCCTGGGTGGCTCAGTTGGTTAAG